GTGGATGATTTCAAGGAGATCATTAAAATATTTGTCAGTCATTTTGATTCCACGATCAGTGATCAATATTCTTTAGATCAATTCCCTTATGATCCCGGTGCGAATGTGTTCATTCTAACCTCTGGTGGAAGCCTTCAAGTTCATCAATTGCACCTTGCGACATTTGTATTCAATCTTTTACTCGTGATGGACACATTTCAGCTTTTTGAGTCAGTTTCTAACATTCATCCCACTGTCAAACTTGCTAAACCTCTATTTGATAATGAATCAATTATTTCTATTCGGGATCCAGGAATTAGTTCCAAGTTTTGGGCTATCACAGGTTCTAGAGACCGTGTGGAGGTGCTAAGAGTGTTTGAAGCAGTTAAAAACAATTGGAGTTGTTTATTTGCAAAGTTATCGAATTGGGAGCAGTTAGGTGGAGTTGAAATGGGTGTTGAAACCTTTAACGCCATGTATTTTGATAGATGTTTATGGGTAACTGAGCATATTGGGGATCATCTTGATTATTCTTGTATGGAGTATAAGTGTGGCATTTTAGTAAAAGAATTTCACAGTTGCGATGACAAGGTGGAAATCTCCGAATTTATTGTGTCAGCAAAATTTTTGTGCCGGATTTTAGAGTACCAATTGAGGGTTGTACGAAGGCAAAACAAATAATGGATGTCTTTGAGTTCTCCTTATGTTGTGTGCAATATTCTCACTAAAGTTCTATACAGCCTTTCGCCAAACGATGGTTTTGAATGTTACATGACTCTCCAACCTGTTTCTTATTCCTTTCCAGGTTTCGTTCTTTTTGTCACCTTTGCAAATCGTCCATTTGATCCCGGTACACGTGATATTCCTCTATCCTATGTTGCCAACGAGAATATGTTTCGAAATAGTAGTTTTGTTTCTACTTATGTTTTAGTAGTTACATTGTGGGGTGAACAAGTTTGTCGTCTTAAGCGGAAACATGTAGGTACTACTGCATCTGAACAATTCATAAATTTATTGGAGCTTCTTTTAGCACTCAATCTTGTTGGTTTGGATGCGAGCACTGGTTATAGCGACTGCAAGCAACTAGAGATATGTGACACATTGTTTAGAACAAAGTTAATTGCTACTAATGCAAGTGCTTCTACTCGTCGACATTATTATGCACGTCTTTGCAAGGTATGTAGCAAGCAAAAAGTTTCTCTCTTGGCGAACATGGCACATATCAGTGGCGTGGTTGCTTCTTTGGTCATTTGCTCTACTTTCAAGTATTCAACTTTTGTTACATTTGCTACATAATTTATGGGTGCTAAAGTTTACACTACAATTGTGTTTGGAAAGAGCTTGTTTGCACTTGAGGGCTTTGGTAATGAGAAGACCATACTTTATATTGTTCCAGGTTGGTGGTTGTTGCAGGAAGTATAAAAGATAGCATACTATATTTTGCCAACATTGCACAATTGGTCTTGGCTATAATTGGTAGGGAGTGCGCTACTAACATTGTTCTTGACTCGAACGTTAAGGGCAAGGTTCTTATTAAGGACTAGAGTATTGTTATGAACCAAGTCCAGCCCGATGTAGATAACAAGGTCACGAAAGTAGTTATTGGGATGACAAGAGCTACTGGGCCGAGAACAAGTAATAGGGTCAGGTTAATTTGGGATCCGGGTTGAGAAGTGGGTGTGGGAACGGTTCATCAAAAAGGGTAGTGGTATGTGATTTAGGGATTACGCAAATTGTTGAGAAAAATGTCTAGTCCTCTCATCCCCTTTCTTTGAGTCTATGCTTCTTATCTCCCTACTAGTTATCTTCTACAATAGTTTTCTTTGTTAATTTCATTTTCCGTTGTAACTTCGAGTTTAATGACTATAGTATTTGAATGTTTCTATTGTGAAATTGGAGTTGTTACATTGGCATTATGTTTAACTTTTTTTTAGAGGTCATATAGAGAAGTTTCTATATTCCCTGGAAACTATATTGTTGGTAGCAATAAATAATAGAAGCTTCTTTCCAAAGGCCTTAAATATTCATGAGTGTTCATATTAAGGATATCTTAGTTACTATCTGATTCTTTGATCCAAATTTCGATTGTTTCGATGGGTCATTATTTGTTTAACTTGGTTGTTTTATATCTTGTGGAGATAAAAATAAGCTTTTAACAAATTATCATTCTTATTTGTTAGTTCTGGTTAGATACAGAACCTTGTCGATTGCGAGTAGCAATTCATAATCTTGGTAGTTTGTTAAAAAAAGATTCTTGCCTAAATGAGTTTCCTTATTGATTGTTTAACCAAATATGTTGAACTTCAAAATATCGTTTAGCAGATTAGTTATTTGAGAATCAATTATTAGGCAAGTAAACATATTTCCTAAGTAGATGCACAACATTCCAATGATGAACAAAATAAAGCTATTGCCATAACAAGTCAAAAGATTGTCAGCCAAAGACTTTTCTGTTTTGAAGTCGTTTCGTTTGTAATACTTCCATTACAGTAATTTGTTTCGTTTGTATTAATTTATTTCAATTTGAAATTACATTTACTATATCTTCATGATGTAATACTTTTAACGGATTTCTTGCTTTCGGCACCACCAAAATTGGTAACACTTCTCCACCTTATATTTACTTGCTTCAATTAACGTGATATTTATACTATCGTTAGTTGAAGTTGCTCACTTTTAAAATTAAAAAAAAAAGAAAAAAAGAATTAGTATATGTTTGGTAAATATTATATTCTTGAACATCTTTTTTGTTTGATCTAAAATATACTTATTAGATAGAAATACATCACATTTACTTCACAAAAATATATTGTATTAGTACATCCTAGCTACTACAGTCATACAATGACAAGTGTAGAAGAGCTTGAGAACCAATGCCTACTTATTAGCAAGTTGAAGAAATATGCAACAAAATGGGCAATTAAAGTCTTAGTCATTCGACGGAGCTTAACAAAAGAGTACAAAAATGCAAATGGTGAAGGTATTCGTTGGCAACTAATATTCGTCGACGAAGAGGTAACTCTATTTTAATTTTTTATTATATTGATTACTTAATATGTTGGCTTCTTTTGAGAGTCTAATGATTATGAGTCTTACACAGGGAACAAAAATGCAAACAACTCTTTTCAACAAAGATGTTCATGCGTGGAACAACTCTTTTTAACTTAATCAAAGTTACTACATTATAAATGGAAAGTTAAATGGAGCTAAACAATACTTCTTATCTATGCATAATGACCTCGAAGTAGCATTCATGAACAAAACAGAGGTCGTTGAGGATAAAAGGTAATTTAAGACTCAACAATTTTCAAATGGATTTATTTCCTTTGATGAAGCTGAAAAACTGACTAATGGGAGTTTGTTCGGTAAATTTCACTACATGTTTGTTGTGTATTAGACCCATAAACAAAATCTGTACTTAATAATATATTTTTTTTAGATGTGGTTTATATTTTACTCAAAGTAAAATCACTAAATGGAGAAAGACGAAGCATAAGGCGCAAAATAATCGCTACAAACGACAGGTAACTTTACACTTTCTATGCATCCTTCATATAAATATTTCACGTTATTAAACTTTTATCATAAAGATGTCCTTTTTTTTTACATATATGGGTATGATCGAAAAGTCATGACTTTATGGGGAGATTTTGCTAAAATCGAAGGACAAATGTTACAGACCCTTGAAAGTAAAAAACCAGTGCTTGTCTTTTGTGATGTGAAATCCTCCATATACCAAGGTATAAATCTCCTCAATTTATATATTTGAATCAAGTTTCAAACTATATAAAAATTTCATTGAATTAATTACTCCTGGAAAAATAGGGGATTTTGTCCTTTCCACGATTCCTATTAGTAGTTTGCTAATCAATCCACAATTTGAAAAGGCCAACAATTTCCAACAATGGTAAGTAACACATATTTCTTCGCACTTATTCATAACCTACATGCTACGTCTTTGATGTTTTATATTCATAACTTTTAAATTATAGGAATGACAGCATGAAGGCACAAAAGATTGACATAAGTCTAATGCCAAGTAGACTAATGCAAACAGCCCGCCAAGTGAAAATTACCAATATTTTAAACGGTTCACTTGCCATTGTGAAGGTATTAACCTCTGCAAAACCCAACGTGTACTCAAATTATATGTTTAAAACATAATTAAGTAATTTTCCTAATTTACGTATAGGACATGTACTATAAGTTCAATGCTACGGGCATTGACAATAACACAGACCCATGGTATCATGGTTGCAAGAAATGCTACAGGCGAGTTACTATTATAAAAAGTAGTGCAACTTGTACCTACTGTGGCATTGATGATATTGATTATGAGGAGAGGTAAACTACACAAATGAATATGAACAAATATTACTTACTCCACCAAATAAATGAACAGTTATTGATTAAATATTGAAATGAGTTTAACATATAACTATCAAATAAATGAAGTCACACTGATTAAATCTTCAAATGTGTTTTAGATATTGGTTAAAAATTGATGTCACTGATGAGGATCAATTTCTAAGGATTACGTTGTTTGATGCGGCACAATACTATTTGGGATGTGACGTAAAAGACTATGTTCACTCTACATGAGAAGACTATTTAACACAATGTACACTTTTACTACATCAATAATATTGCACACTCATGACAAGATTGCTTTACAAATGTCTCTCCAAAGAGAATAAGACAACTTAGTATGACTCAGACGTACAACTTAGTGAGCAATATTAGTTAAGGAAATAAGTTTAGTTCACATTATAAGCTGAAGTGTTATTAGTTTTAAACTTTATGCAATTCTTGGTTTACTTAATGTTAGACACCATATTATATTTATTCATGCTCCAATTATCCAGTCCTAAACAAACAAGGGGAGTAAAGTGCGCTATCTTGGTTGAAGGATGAGCTATTGTCTCTCCTTATATGATGAACCTGAACAGTTTTTATATGATGAGGTACCTAGCTTCTATAGTCAGTTTAAGCCAATGTTCATTTTAGTTGCAGCAAAGAAGAAAACTAAAAGGAATTTATAGATGCATCTCAAACGATTTCTAGAGGGTATTCAAACAGGATGCCTCAAGGAAATTAATGCACCCCCCAACACTCGTATATATAAGTTTAGAGATGTAACTAAAGTTTCTGGATCACAACTGAATTGGCTAGGTCAGCTTGTTCTATTGTCTGGTCGAGATCAGAAAGTTCCTTGGGAGGAAAACCCACTGTCTGTAGTTGATAGCTCCTGGATCCACTGGGCCTTGATGCATCAATAAACCCTCGGATATCTCTGATACTGTGTTGGAAGTTGAACCGTGAAACCATCCGTGTGCCATCTGCTAACCTAACTTGAATTGAAGTTGAAGGCTGCATCTGATCAACAACTAGGCCTACTGATGGGGCTGGATCTGCAGTGAATGATGAGACAACAACGGTTGACTCTACTGCCGCAGCATTGCTGGTATTACCCGAAGTTCTTCTCACACCCTGAAATGAAACATGGCGCTTCTCTGGTACCTGCAAATACGACCCCAGAGAAAAAAGGAAAGAGATTTTGTTAAGGGCAGATGTTTCATGAGTAAAACTGAGACCCTTCGCTATTATTTTAAAGAGACATACTGGGCAGTCCTCTTCACTCCTTGTGACATTAAAATGAACATGTGTCTTCCTATCTGCTGGCTCAAGTTCTTTCGGACATTCAGACTTCCGAATACTCTGCATTCATGAACTTTATATCAAGTCCTGAGTAGGATATTTTTCTATTGCTTGTTCAGAATAAACTTTTCATTACATCAAATAAAAGATAAAGAAAAATCAAAGCAAAAGACAACAAAAGAACCAGAAATGTTGCGAAGGAACAACATACTCTAGTAGCCTAAAATATTAACAAAAGGAAGGTGGTGGGGGCGAGCACTTCACTGGTGCTCTGAGTCAATACACGTATCAGAATGGTAGTCTCGAGCAATTGTGAGTGTGACACCTTGATACACTTGGATTCCACTGTTCTAAAAGGCAGGGGGGTGGACGTCCCAAAATGGACCTTCATTGAGGACAGTACGACCAGCATCGTTGGGGGAGAGGTTGAAGTGATAAGTCAGAGCAGGATAGACATGAGCATCTGGAATATCGTGGATGGTGGTGGAGGCATCAAACATGAGGTGTAGATTGGAGCGCATGGTGAGTGACCAACTTGGTTGGCGTTTCCGTGCTGGAAGTTGTTGTGACTACCGGTTTCATTGGTCCAGACAGGACCCTGGAACACATTGGTTCCACCGGTTGCCACACAGCGGACTGAACCGGTGGCGGAGCCATCTGGTGAGCAATCAGCAAGGGAACAGGAGCCTTTCCAAAATTGGCAGTACTTGGCCATCATAGCAGCTAGTGGACCGAGCCAAGATGAACTATTGTTCATTGTCAAGGCAGAGATCCAGTCGTTTTCAACATGATCGACGCTGATATCCAAGGGAGATGGAAGATCATAAAAGGAGAGGTTTGCAGCAGCATTTTGCCAAAGGCGAAGACCGCCGGCATATGTTAATGAAGCTCCTGGAGAAGCGACATTGATCAGTTCATTTTCGTCGTGCACACAAGCTTGGCTAAAAAGTGTAGCCATAAATCTTGGGCCATCAACATCATTGCAAAACAAATGTTCAGTGACAGCTGGCCTGGTAGCGATGCTGCAGATGGAATGGAGACGGGAGATGAAGATACTGATGTTAGGAAGGTGCGAAGCAAATCTATTGCCAAAGGAGAATCTATTAGCCTGGGTCCACTCGGGAGTGGCAAGCAGAGAGGGAGAAACATTGCCAAACTGACCAGTGGCACTAGGCCAAAAGCAAGATAAATTCTTGAATGCAGAGACCAGAGGGCCTGGAATCCACAGATTAGTAAAGGGAAACAAAGTTTCAAATTCTCTCAAGAAGATTGGAAGTCTAGAGCCAAAGCGGAAAATTCCTGCAGAATCCATCGCTCTGATCACTTGGATGTAGAGCAAAATGGAGATGTAGATCTGAGAGTAGGGGGGAACCCAGCCCATGCAGTTGTCTGTCCAACGTTTAGTGGACACCATTAAATGGTCCATCTGATTGAGGTAGTAGAGGACTGAGATAAAGCAAGGGATGAAGGTGGATTCCCCGGAAATAGGGAATTGGAAGCTGAAGCCAAGATAGCAGTCTCGATGTTCGGGTCAGTAAGACCGCGGAAAGGAGGAGCTAGACAACTTCTAGCTTCAAACCGGGGGCAGTGGGCAATAGCAACAACCCGATCTCTTTGAGCTTCTTGATCGCGTTCAGCGACCATGTTTCTCGCAGGATCAGCAACGCCGATAAATCCAAACAAATTCAGTGGAACATTCACATTAAGAGCAGCGTCTTGGAGGGGAAGAGCACCGTCCTGATCCATTATGGAAACAGATTGAGTTTTCTTGAAAGAAAAGAATAAAAAAGCCTAGAAAATCAACCAGTGCTTACTGTTGTTTTTCTAGAGTAAAAAATAGGTAGAATGCAATGAGAAATGTATGTGCCACCGCGTAAAGCTCAGTTCAGGTGTAGTGGTGGTTCTGCCTTGCAACAAGAATCTGAAATTACATCAGATATTGGTCCACATCCAACAATACGGGGTCATTTTATTGATCCAAGTTCAAAAAAGGATGAATCTCAAATCCTCCTTTTATGATAGACTGCTTTAAAGTAGCAAGAAAAGAAAAAAGTTTTTTAAGGCTTAAGAAGATCACAATACAATGTTGCTGTATTTCTACAACTTCAACATAGGATGCTTGTTAAAAGATAAGATTCAAGGAAAATCTTGGATTATGACACTGATTACCGATAAAATTTCATCCACTATGTCAAAGAGGAACTACAAGTTTAGATTCAAGGAGAGAAAACATTTTTGAAAATGTAAATCCTGTTTTTACGCTTTACAAATTCTTTATTTGTTGCGGGGCAAGGGTGGGAGTGGAAAGTTTACAATTGTACATGGCACAGCATACATCAACATGAAATTAACAAAAAATGGAAGCCTATCACATGCAAGGACACAATAAATCGGCTAAGAGACTCAAATATTATTTATCAGCTCCATCCAATAAGAGGTTACGATCTTTAAGGAATTCAAGACTTCAATTAGGCCCAGATTATCTTCTCTAATAAATTAACAATAATAGGATGACAAGGCTGGGACCTATATTTCAGAAGGCTATTATTGAATGACTAGGAAGTAGATAGAGTGGCTTCTTTCCTGGGAAAATTGGGGGGGAACCAATCTAGTAACAAATGCACCAGATAGAGTTATTTGGAAGCACAACAAGGATGGAAAATTCATAGTAAACAGTGCTTACAAGAAAGGCATACAAGTTGGGGTTAGAGGCTGCCATCATCACTGGAAGAGTATTTGGAGAGGATTGACCCCCACCAAAGTGAAATGCTTCACCTGGTTAGTCATCAAAAGAGCCTGCTTCACTCAAGAAGTGCTGCAGAAGAAAGGAAAGCAACTAGTCCCTAGGTGTTTCCTATGCAATTTGACTGGGGAAACAAACAATCACCTATTTTTACATTGCAAATTACTGCACAGATCTGGGAGCTGTTTCTCAACATCACATGCTATAGCTGGACTATGCCAGAACGCACCTCTGATCTTTTTAAATGTTGGATCAGAAGGAGGGGTAGCAAGACTCAAAAGAAGTGGTGGAAGCTAATACCATCATGCATATGGTGGTCAGTGTGGAAGGAAAGAAATGGGAGATGTTTTGAAGATAGATCTAATTTCATTCACAAAGTAAAATGGAATTGTTTGGTATCTTTACTTTTTTGGTGTAAACAACTCTACATAGAAGATGTAGATCAAATTATATTATAGAATTAATAGGGAGCTTGTAATTTCGCTTAGGGCTGTAAAATTTGAAGGTCATGTCCTTAATGCTGAAGAATACAACTTTACCAATGTTCAAAAAAAAAAAACAATAATAGGATGATCTTCATCGAGAAGTGTCCATTAGCTTGTTTATCTAATCAACATTTCCCTTCAGATAAAAATTCCAATAATTGTTACCTTGTAAGTAGGAGTTTGTGTAGAGAGTTAGATGATAACTATATTAACATAAATGTAAATTACTTACTAAAAAATTATAACTGTAAAGCTAAAGACCGATGTGGAGCACTTAAAGAACAAAAACAGAAATAGATTCATTCAGTTCTTATGCATGCAGACCAAAAGAGACGCGGTCTCTTAATTCATTTAAATAACAGAACATTTTCCAAAACATACAACAAACCTCTTCATTCATTTCTAGAAAGGTGTAATGCTTGAAAGCAGCTTTCAAGTTACATAGATAAGTACTAAGCATGAACAGTTATATAACTGCTCCAGAGGTTCTTTTTTAAATACTAATCACGAGTGGATTTTACTTATCAAAAAATCATAGAGGATTTAAGGTCTCCCAGTAAAAATTATGTTTCTTGAAAGTGGTGTTTGTGTTTCATAGGTTGAATACTGGTATTAGATAAACTAGTTTAAAATGGATGTTTGAGTAGAATGCTACAAGATCCAGACTGCCCAAAGACTCCCCTGCAGGGTTTTTTCAAACTCAAAGAGGACTCAGGCCGGGTGATCCATTGTCCCCTTTCTTGTTCTTAATTACTATGGAGGGGCTGAATAATATGCTCAAGACAGCAAATATGAGAGGATGGGTAAAAGGTTTTTGATGTGGCTAGAGAAAATACAGAAAGCTTGGAGGTGACACATCTTCAGTATGCAAATCATACACTGATTTTTTGTGGAGCTGAGGAAGACCAACTGAAATACTTCCTGGTGCTGTTTGAAGGGGTATCCGGGTTGCACATTAACTGGATTAAAAGTTCTATGTCTACTATCAATGAGGTCAACAACTAGGGTGTTCCTGGGGAACTGAATCACACCAAGTAAAAAAAAACAATATTTTTGGTCTGATTTGATTTTTTCTAAAATGAAAAAAAAAAACAAATCAAACCAACAAAATTTGATTTGGTTACTTCCTTTTCGTATAATTTTCTAGCCAAGACATCGTTGAAGCTCAAGGAAAAGCTGCACAAATGGGAAAAGGAACAGGAAGTTTCGGTAAGAGGAGGAACAAGACCCACACACTGTGTGTTAGATGTGGTCGTCGTAGTTTCCACATCCAGAAGAGTCGTGTTCAGCTTGTGCTTACCCTGCTGCTCGTCTCAGAAAATATAACTGGAGCGTCAAGGCACTTAGAAGAAAGACCACTGGAACTGGTCACATGAGGTATCTCCGCAATGATCCCCGTAGGTTTAAGACAAACTTCAGAGAAGGAACTGAAGCAGCTCCAAGGAAGAAGGGCACTGCTGCGGCCGCTTAAGTTTCTCGAGAGGCAGTTTGACGTTGTTTTATTTTGATTTTGCCTTCCATTTCACCGATGAATCGAAGTTTTGAATATTTGTTTCTGGAATATTACCTCTCATCTGTTAGATTGGAGTTATTGCTGTTTAAGATATATGTCAAATGGATTGGTTTCTGTGTTTGAAAGAAAAAAATGATTTGGTTTTGGTTTTAAGAAAAAAATAACCAAAAAAAAAGAACCAATCGACTATACAAATACCTACTGAAAAATAATAATTACACATATATGTATTTTACTGTACATATTAATCTTTGCACTCTTGATTTACAGTCTAGTTCTTGCCTTGACAACAATTTACTTCTTTGTCTTTATATTCTAGTTTGATTTATAGTTCCATTTGATAAGTCCAAAAATCTATTCTATGCTTAATACAACTTGTCTTTCATTGAGTCATTAAATTATTCATCACCATTTAATTCAACTATCATCAAGAAAACTTGGTAAATGACAACTTCTCCTAAACTGTAATTGACTTGGCAGCATATGTCACATATTTTTAAAAATTGAAATAACTCAAAAACCCGACAAGGATGGTACCAATGAAAATTGACTTAAATGGTTTAGTTTGGTTTTAATATTTTAAAAAAGGACTTAATTGGTATGGTTTTCTTTTAGTGAAAACCAACTTAAACTGAACCATGAACACCCCTACCACCAACAGTGCTCTCTTGAATTTACTGTATTAAAGTTATTGTTTTTTTAATGAAGTTATTGTCATTGTTTTACATCAGTTTCAACTGTAGAATTATATATCAATGTATAAGAAAGTTGAACAGCAAAGGCTTTCATTAATTTATACTCTTAAGCAGGGATAGGTCTGGGAATCAGAGATTTAAAGAAGCACAACAAGAGTCTTTTAATGAAATGGTGGTGGAGATATGCTCAAGAACCAACATGTATCTAGAAAGAGGCAGTGAATGCCAAATATGGGAGGCAAGACAAATGGAGTACCAAGCAGAACAAAGACCCTTATGGAGTTGGACCTTGGAAGTACATTAACCAGCTAAGGGAGGAGTTCTTCCAAGAGGTGTCCTTCAGGATTGGAGATGGTAACTCAGTTAAATTTTGGAAAGACAAGTGGCTTAACAATCAACCACTTAATGCCTCCCACCCTGCTATTTACAGGATAGCCTCTGACACAGACTCTTCAGTGGCTCAAAACAGAGAAGGTGGAATATGGGCACCTCCCTTTAGAAGGAATTTTCAAGACTGGGAGCTTAATGAGCTCTTTGATTTTTTCAGAATTCTAGAAGGAGCCTCGATGACCCCTCACTTGCCTGATAGCTTAAAATGGGGCAACTCTGAAAAAGGAATATACACACTGAAGGATACCATAAGTTGTGCTCTTCAAATGGCAAGATAGACCAGTGGCCATGGAAACTGATTTGGAAGACTAGACTACCCCCTAAAATCAAGTGTTTCACCTGGACTACCCTCAAGAATGCTATCCTAACCCTGGACAATCTAAATAGGAGGAAACTTCAGCTAGTAAACAGATGCTTCATGTGCCTCAATAACCTGGAATCAGTGAATCATTTGTCTCTGCACTGTCCAGTGGCAGCAGCTCTTTGGAATATGTTTATTTCAATTGCTGGTATCAACTGGATTCTCCCACAAAGTGTCAAAGAAGTAGTTGGAAGTTGGAGTCTTAGAGAAGTTGATAGCCCCATCAAGAAGACCAGGCAGATGATTCCATCATGTATTTTTTGGTGTATTTGGAAGGAAAGGAATCTCAGATGTTTTGATGGTATCTCAACTGCCTTATTAATCTCTTCCATTGGAGCAACTTATCCCCTATAAATGATATATTACCCCTCTTAGATTTCATTAGCTCCCTCAATATGGCTTAGCTACCATTCTTTTGCTTGTGGTTAACTCCCTGATTAAATAGATGTTTTTGTTCTCAGGAGTTAACCATGTTTTTGTGTGCGTAATTTGCATCTCCTTGATGCCTTTCTAATACATCTTACTTCATCACAAAAAAAAAACATGCAGTAAATGTGGAACCATGAAAACAAACAAATGCATGTAAATCAAAAGCTAAAATCGTGATGTAAGCTAATATTACCTCTAAGAAAGAGGCATTTTCTGGATCATCAAAACTCCGTGGAGGACCATCATCTACAGTGAACCCATTGCGCCAAAAAGTGATAGCATGGGTAGCATTTTCAGGTGGCTGAGGAACTGAAGGCACAGCCTCCTCTGTAAGTCGTCTTGCAGCTCCAGTAAAGCTTCTTGAGCCTGAAGATGGAAGGTGTTCCAAAGGTCCTTCTACAGCAGCACATTGTCTAGCTTGGTTAAATAGTGCATCCACGTCATTCTCTTTTGATGGATCTTGAACAAGCATTCCGCTACACAAAGGACTTTGATCAGCAACATGAAAGTGAATATGCATCTTGTACTTTCAGAAAAACTATATTGTTCAGGGTTTATCAATATAAGAAAATATCTTTAGACTTTCGATACATGTTATAGAACATAGAAATCTAGCTAACAGACTAAGGGTTAAAAGAAAAGAGTAACCAGCAGTTAAATTCAGATCCAACTAACTGTCAGTTACTACTTACTAGCATATTTTAGAAGGCATTGAAAGGATGTCAACATGCTCTTGATAATTTATGGATGAGATAAAAAAAATGAAAATCCTCCAACAAGGGAACTATCAGAAACAATATCTAACACAGCAAAATCCAATTCAGTATATAAATGTTGCTTAACCTTGCTGATATAATCAAAATCAAAGAGATGATAAAATCAAGAAGTGACTTGGACAGGAGAGTGATTTAAAATGACCGGGAACCATGGACAATAAGATTCTCTCAGGGAAATGTAAAAAGCAGAAGCATGACAGCATAGCCAGGGACAACAGAACAAAATTGCTTGCTCCAAAACTTTTATCCAAGAATGCATTTCCTTGCAAATCAAGTTTGCATGATTAGATATAGATTTGTAATGATCACCTTCTTTTCATTTTAACTTCTCCAGTCAAATGATCAGATACAAGGAAACATTTTTCAGTATACTTCCTATCTTCTCTCTTTTTTTTAACTCACAATCATCAATATAGTACCACCAAATAATCCTTTTTAACCTTGATGTAGAAAAAGCTTTTGACAAAATAAACTGAGTCATTCCTAATCTCAATTCTCAGAAAGATGGGGTTCGGGGGAAAATGGATAAGATACAGCATGTCCACTGTGATATATTCCATCCTTTATTATATTTATTTATTTTTTATTTATTTTGGTGAAGAATATTCCATCCTTTATTAATAGTGGTCCAGTGGGATGCTTTTCTCTCATGAGAGGGATCAGACAAGGGGATCCTCTCTCTCCATTTCTCTTCATCCTTGCTATGGAGGGTCTTAGTTGCATGCTTGAGAAAGCCAAACAGGGACAGTGGCCGGAGAGTTTCAGGGTTGGAACCAACAGTGAGACTTATGTGTCCATCTCACACCTATTATTTGCAGATGACACTTATTTTTTGTGGTGCTGAAAAATCACAAGTTCTCAACCTTAATTTCACCCTCATGATTTTTGAAGCATTGTCTGGCCTTCATATTGACATGTCGAAGAGTGTAATTTACCCTGTAAATGTGGTGCCAAATTTGGAGGAGCTGGCTGATATCTTGGGGTGCAGTATTGGCAATTTCCCAACAATCTATTTGGGACTACATTTGGGGGCTAAACACGAAGCAACGGAAATATAATGGGGTTATTTGAGAAAAGATTGGCTACATGGCAAAAGCAGTACCTTTCTCTAGGAGAAAGATTTGACTCTAATAAACAGTGTTTTGGATAGCATCCCAACATATTTCATGTCTCTCTTCCCAATCCCCAACAAAGTCTTGAAGCGTCTAGATAAAATCAGGAGAGACTTTTTATGGGAAGGCATTCAAGGCAACAGTGAATCTCACAAATTACACCTTGTGAAGTGGCCTTTTGTCACTCTTCCCAAACATCTTGGTGGCCTTAGTATCAAAGATCTTGCTATACATAGCAAATGTATGCTTATGAAGCGGCATTGGAGGTTCATTTAGAAGGATGCTGGTCTGTGGAAAGAGGTAATTGTGGCTAAGCATGGCAGCAACACCCAGCGGTGTACAAGACAATCCACACTCCCTACGGAACTGGATTATGGAAGGCCATTAATACCTTGTGGGATGATTTTTTCAAACAAACTCACTTTGAGGTAAGGAATGGGAACCATATCAGATTCTGGCTAGACAAATGGACAGGAGACTCTACTTTGAAAGAAGCCTTCCCAACTATATTTAACATCGCCATATATCCTAATTATTCTATTGCTCAGTACAGGGATGTCAACTCTTGGAACCTGAACCTAAGAAGAAATTTGCAAGATTGGGAATTGGAAGAGTTATTGAATCAGCTCAAAAGCTTAGAGAACTGCAACATTAACATTCACAGCAGTGATAAGTTAAAAATGGGACTTCAACTGGTAAAGGTTTATACACAGTCAAGGCAGGATATGAACACTTGAGCTCCAAATTCCAATAAGATGATGAATGATCTATGGCCTGGAAATTAGTCCGGAAGACTAAACTTCCCCCTAAAGTATCGTGCTTTACTTGGACAATGGCTAGTTGTTTGGTTAACCTTTTTAGCTGGGCTAACTTTTCCCTGTAAATAACTTAGATCACTACCTGGATTTTGTCAGCTCCTTAGCTCTATAAGTTTTTTGTTCTTACTGAGCTGACAGATCCCCTTCTGTATCTTTACCACCAAATAAAAGATACAATTAGATGAAGGGGGGACAAACCTAACCGCCCTTCACAAGATGTTAAAGTCAACATGTACAAAAATTTCTAGCATCCTGTACTATGAGCAAAAGAGTAAGCACAACTTGAAAGGTGTTACTGAAACTAGGATGTTCAACGTGGATCAAAGACAATGGAGCTTAGATTCTGAAATAAGCATCTGCCATCTATCAGTATTGAGAAGGCATCTAATTTGCCTTGGTAAGGTCAAGAAGTGCGTACATATGTAAGCATCCTACAGTTGATGACTCAGGGATGCCACTTTATCAGCTATCTGATTGGCCTCCCTAAAGCAATGTTTAATAACTAGGCCATGATTCTCTTCCAGCTGTTGGATTTCAGAACCAATTCCAGCAATCCCCCAGGGTATAGACTTCCCAAGATACAGTTATGAAGGAGTAGGGAGTCAATTTTTCCTATGATTAGTCCATGGCCCCAGTAAATGCACCATTTTCAGACCACATAACAGAGTCTTAATAAATCATTTCTGGCTAATTTATTATGTTCATTTATTCTCTTTGGGGTCTTAGAATAACTGGCTAGTTTAGGGAAAGAAAATGGAAGTCTGTGATAGGTTTGTCTATAAAGGAGGCCTTTCGGCCTAATCCATCAACAAAAGCAGGAAAACACCACACAACCAAAAAGATCCTCTTTATCTATCTGGAATAGTTAATGGCTTGTGTTTTAAAACAAAAGCATGGTAAAAAGAAGAGCCAAAAGAATAATAACACAAATAGATCATGTACCGGGAGAACTATGAGTACAATTTAGAATTAACTAGTATGAGAGTAGCAACTATTATTGTGTCCATGAGAGGAAAAAATTGTAATACCCTGAGAAGCAGCCCCTAATCCAGACTAGTAAATATTAGAATGATGACAGAGATGTTTGTGTTAACTCCTGAAGCTACAAATGTAGACCCTTCACCCATCCTACCACAAACCCAATCCCAGGAACTCTGTAATAAACCCCATAATGTGTTAGCCCAGTAACGTCCAAATTATATCAATTTTAACCAATATAAAGTGAATGGTCATCACTTCTAGAAATAAAGCAGATACTACAAAGCACTATGATGTACACATGTTAGGTTGATATGCATCTGATTGTCCTTGAAGGGGTACCCTAACCAGAGAGTATGATGAATCCATACTGAGTTAGGTTATTGTTCTTAACGTCATTTGCACCAACAAAAAAAATTATGGATGGTGTCCGAACTAGCTTGGGTGCACCAGGTTTAATTTACCAAGGCTAGAGCAAATAGACTCAAATTAAGTGACGCTAGTTGTTACTCCCATACCTCAACTACTAAGCAACCCTTGAGGATGCCATCTGCCCCAAGTTTTCCCATTAATATCAATCAATCAGCCATGCTTCATTCCTAAACCAATTGAAGTCAAGGGAATTTTCGCATCTTCACTCATACTTTACCTCCTTTACAAACTCCAAAAAAATAAAATCAGCAAGGGATATGATATCCTCGGGGTTTTCACACATATCCAGATTACCAAGTAGTGTAATAAGGCACATATTTAGTCCGAAATAAAGTCTTATAAGTTATGAGGCTATACGTAACAAAAGGACTTCCCAGGGTCCCCTACCCTAGTAATTATGTCACCCAAGGATGCTTAACTTTGGAGTTGTGATGAAATTCAGTTTTTTAGTGTTGTCATCATCCCATCCCTCACAGGTTATGCTTAGCAAACTCTGATAAGTCTATCTAATTTCATACAAGTCCACTTTTTCACATTTTTTCACTTGTACAAATATAAGTAGAATGTCAAATTGATGATGAAGTAATCAAGGGCACCTCAAGCACATTAATGGCCTAAGGCCAAAATCGAATGGAGGCCTAAAACTAATTTAAAAAGAATTATGAAGCATATTCTTCTAACTCTTTGAGATGCAATGTTGCTAATAACTTTATTATAATAGATTTCTTTTAATAATTCTTATTCAATTAATCCATTTAATCTTTCTTGACACATAGTACTCCAGATATTTTAATCTTCTTCTAATATATATATTAGTTCTTTCACAAACAATACCCAATATTTTTCTCTAAAAAAAAAACTAGAACCTATTAAGAACACTTTCCTTTTTTGTAACTCTTTAGAGCCGGTACATGTAAGATAATTACCTTTTCTCTCCACCAGTGTTAGCTTCTTGCGGCTCATCGGAGTTACTCTCTAACCCTGTGCTAGGTCGACGTCTCAGACTTCTCCTCCCACCACCAACAGCATCAGCAACATCAGCCGCAGCGGCATCATTTCTAGGTCTAGAGGACCTCAAATTATAAGCATTAGAAGAAGGTTTCCGTAATCGTTTCGAGCTGAGAGAAGGAGGAGGAGGAGATGGGGAGCGAGAGCGGGAGGAGGGAGAAGAAGACTCAGAGTGAGAAGGACAGTAGGACTGTGAGTCGGACGGAGATACTGGATCGGTGGCGACGACGGCGGTGCCGGGGCCGGCGGAGGGAAGTGAAGAGTTTTCGAGGAAGGTGGAAACGGCAGAGTCTAAGTCGAAATTATGACTTTCGAGGAAGAAAAGTGCTTGGGATTTAGAAGAAGAAGTGATTTCACAGAATGTGCTGATAAGAGCTTCATTAGCTTTCTTCTCCATTTTTGCAAATGCTTTGAGTTTCCTCTTCTGTTTTTTATATTTTAAAGAATTTTTGGGGAATGATACACAAAACTTTTTGGCCTTTGGGTTTTCTATATTTTGATTTTCGGGTTGTCAACGCTATGTAATAATGTAACAGGTTCGCAGAGTCGGGTTTTCGGTTTATCCACGGGAGGTGCCCCACTGGATCATAATTGTTGAAATGTGTACGAGATGACTTTAGTCAATAGAGTATTAAATAAATTATTGAAAAATAATTAAAGTTTAAAATGAGTGAATTTTTTAAATGTTCATTGTTTTTTAATATTTTTTTAATGGATTGTTAATTACTTTATATTTTCTAGAAAAATATTTTCTTTATTTTATATTAATTGAATTTATGAGATAATGTACATTTATAACATTCAATAATATAATTTAAACTATATCTCCACTATTGTTTTTTGTGAAATCATAAATATAATTTTGCAAGTAGAGTAATTTATCTCCTAGAAAATATATAAGAAAAAAAATTCAAACATCTATCTTGAACTTTGAACAATTTTTTCCCTTAAGAAATTAGCTAAGTTTATCATTATACCTTTATTTAGTGTTTTCGTACAGTCAAGTTTTCAATTAATGAACATGAATTAATTTATTTAATTTGATTAATTAATTTAACTGATGGACATGAATTATTTATTTAGTTTTTCTATGTTGGTCAAGTGCATATTTTTAAGGTTAATAACTCTCAAGGGTAAAATAGGAAGAAAAGTGTCATTTATGCATTGGATTTGTAAAATGACAAGTACTCCTCTATCCCTATTTACGTGTCAATTTTTTTCTGAAAAAACAATTTTTTTCCTTCTACCATACCCTAATTTATTACATTGAGTTACAATTTGTTTGGATGATTGTTACAAATTGTTTCATAATGTATTGTATGTGTTGTATTATATCGTACTATATTGTTTTAATGAATGCAGTGTTTAGATAGATTGTATCGGTCTTCACCATTACATAATGTCATCCATTCATAATTTGAGTGAGAAACCTACAAGATAAGTAGGGTACGGGGAAGAACTATTATTAAAAAGTAGGATAAAAGATGAAATATGATTATTAAATAATAAAGAGAAAATAGCCAAATCACCCCCAACCTATAACCAGATTACCAACTACACACTTATACTTCACGAGGGTCCTATTACCCCCTAGACATTTTCAAAATGAAATATAGATCCCTTAATCGATCACCCAAATTCACACCAAGTAGTGATATGCACGCGCCCACGTAATATTACCTTTTTTATATAAAAAAATAATTATTTTTCTCTATTATGCTTTTTCCTTTATATTTTCCTTTTCTGCTTTTCTTTTTTCATTTTCCATTCCTCTTTTTCTTTGTCTTCAACAATGTTTTTGTAACATCCGACAATTTGAAGTGGCTTAGAAGGAGCTTGAAATTTGGAAATAGTCATTTTTGGAAAAATGACGAATCTGGAAATTTGGCCAAGTGTGGAAATCAATGAGTTTTTGGCCAACTTTGAGTAGTCGTAACTCCTAGCTCAGGATGAATTAGGAGTAGTTCCAGTTATGGTTGCGAAGCCCTTGGAACCATCTTTCCAACGCCACTGAGTTTGCTCAATTCCGAGTTCGTATAAGGGAGTTATGCCCTGTAGAAGTTGGGCAGTTGGAAGGGAAATCCATCCGGAAATTTAAGGGCATTTTGGTCCTTTCACAAATTATTTATTTTGAGCTCATATTGTTGTATTAGGATGATCTTTGGATCATTTTTGTCCCATTTTGAAGAGAAAGAGTTAGGGTTCTTGAGAGTGAAGAAGAGAAGAAGGAGAAGAAGAAGAAGAGAAGAAAGAGGAGAAAGGAGGTCAACAAGTTTCCGTCGTGGATTATCGTCGGGGGTGATCCCTAGTAGGTATGTGAGTTTTCGTGTGGGTTATCCTTTCCCTCACACACACCAAGTTCATTCTATGGTTTGAGAAAGGATCGGAAATTGTTGTTGAATTATTGAAGTTGTTAGTTGTTGTTGATGTTGTTGGTAGAGTAGTTGAGGTTATTGTTCGTTGTGAGACATGATTGAGTCGTGTAATTAAGTTGAAACCTATTGTATGTTGAGGAAATTTTGATTCTAAGAGGTATGCCCCTTTTAAAGTTGATCCACCATCAATTCGCAGAAACTTCTGGGCTGTCGATACCCATCTACGGGCCTGACCTACGGACCGTAGATCGATTGACGGTCCGTACTGGTCAACCGTCAATCGGATCAGGAGTTGGGTTTTTTTTTGGGGCTTCGATCTACGGTCGCGACCTACGGTCCGTGACCTGACCTACGGACCGTAAGTCAGGACCGTAGGTCAACACTTAGTCATTTTTTTCTTAAATGAATTCTGGGGAAAAATCTCTGACGCGATCCACGGACCTGCAGTACGGACCGTGAGTCCATCTACGGTCCGTCGATGGCGTCCGTAGGTTCCACCTGTGTCACCAGAAACCTGAAGTCTCAGCCAAGTTTCCCCGTTTCTTTTCTCACTTTCTCATGCAAGTTCCAAAGTATTATACCTATGTTTTATAGTAGTTTCCGACACTCCTAAGTACGTCTAAGCGTTCAAGGATCCCTCCTCAACATGTGATCGAATACCTTGAATTCATAATTCCGATTCAAGGAAAGATAGTCAGAAGTCAAGTAAAAGAGTATAGAGTTTCAAGTCGAGTAAGAGTCTCAGTTTCAAGTTAAGTCATGAGTTTAAAGTTGAGTTCTTTTCTCAAAGTTATTAGGGAACTATGTATTCCCAAAGAAGTTTTAAAGAAATGTTTTTACATTTAGACAAGGTTGGAAACTGAGATTTCCAAAGGAGCCTTCGGGCTAGTTTTTGAGTAATTATCTCATATCAGCAGGAATAAATATGTTTTAAAAACATAAGAGCCAGTACGTTTTTGGGAGTAGTATCGAGCACCGAATTGGGGGAGCGTTCAAAGAACCCACAGCCCCCATAGAACCATGTTAGCCACCATGGGTAGAAAAGGATCATGTTTTCTAGATGAATCCTTTTCAGATTAGACTAGTGGATCCATTAGGCAGTTCAGGTCTTATACCTTTGGCCGGGTATAAGATGCTCTGGCAGCGTGAGGTCGATCGCTGTATCATCACTATAGCTTTTATGTGATGGTTGTCGGTTAGAGAAACTCCCACATCAGTTATTGTATTTTCATACACAGAGATTATTGTATTTTTATATACATCAGATTATTGTATTTCTATATACATTTCAGGCTTATTGTATCTTTGTATACACACAGAGTTTATAGCATGTTTTAAACAGTCTTTCTTTATATCGCACTTGTTTTAAATTGCCTTATATTGAAAGAAGTCAGTCAGGTTAAGTTGAGTTGAGCCAGGTAAGCTATTCAATTTCTTCCAGATTCCCTTCTAGCCTATGTTGCTTAGCTTTCCAGCTCGCATACTCGTACATTCCATGTACTGATGCCAGTTGGCCTGCATCGTTTGATGATGCAGATTCAGGTACCCCAGATCAGCTTCCGGCACGTCGTTGATCCAGCTGAGCACTCCAGAGTCAGTGGTGAGCCTCCTTGCATTGCGGAGGACTCAATTATTTGGTGTTCTTAGTTTTTGGTTTTATTAGGATGTTGCGGGGTCTGTCCCAACATCCATCTCAGTATTTTAGAGGCTTCATAGACAGACCGTCAGTCAGTTAGTTTTGAGTCTCTCATCTATAATCTCTCATCTATATATATATATGTAAATATTCTATTTTGAGATTTGAGTTGCCTTTATGGCCATATTTTATAAGCTAAGTTGTTTTGAAATGTTGCATTGCATTGAGTTATTCTGTTGAGGTTTCCGCTGAGTTAAGAAAGCCAGGCCAAGGGTTCGCTTGGGGCCAGAAATGGTCTCCGGGTGTCGGTCCCGCCCAGGGTGTAGGATCGGGGCGTGACAGTTTTTCAGCTAAAAAAAACGTCTTTTTAGATAGGATACATTCCATGACAACAATATATTCTTAGACCTCTTGAGGAGATGTGATATCAATAAAATCTCAATATTCTTTATTGAAACTTTAGGAGAATGAGAAACTCAATCGTCGGAATCACTTCTACTTTCACTGCTAGTATTGAAATTAAAACAATGCTTTGAGAAATTACTAGTAAGCAACACTAGTTAACCGAAATGAGGATACCATTGTTGGCTAACGGAGAGACTAGTGTTGATTTCGATTTAACAATGTTAACCTAAGAAGTTTGATGGATTATTGCAACCATTTCAATAAATGGGTTTTCTCCATTAATTAGCTTGTTACCCAATGATTTTGTAAATATATTCTTCTAAGTTAATGGGTTTGTTACCCAATGTATTCTTCTCCATTTTTACACTAAAGTTCAGTCCTTTTGACTTTCAATTTTAATTTTGAGTTATCGCAAAATTTTCAAATAGGTGAGAAGTGAAGTTACAGTAACAAGTATGTGATTTGAAGATGAGAGTTGGCTTAATAATAAATGGATGATGTCGGCCTGTGGTGGAGGTGAGCTGATGTTGCCATGTTAAAGAGGAAAATAAAGAAGAGGAAGAAGGTAAAAATGGAAATAAAAATCAGAACAAAAGAAAGTATAAAAAATAAAAAAAATCAGAAAAGTAATATGAAATAAACGAAAATACTTATAAATTAAAGTTTTAATTATTTTTATTGTCTTTCACTGAGAGATTGAAATAATTATATTTTAAAATAGTCAAGGGAGAGAATAGGTTTCTCGTAAAGTATAGGTATGTAGTTGGTAATCTAGTAATAAATTAAGGGGGCATTTGACTATTTTCTCAATAATAAATAAAGATATATTAAGAAGAAAAATTAAAGTAACGACGCGATCACACCAAATCGATCGATACATAAAATGAGTATTTTCGTCGTTACCTAACAATGAATTTAAACGATACGATAAAATAGAATTTAATTAACAATCAAAATAAACATTGTATTTAAACTAACAATACAATACAATGCAACGGGTAAAAATCATCCAAACAA